CCAGAGTCAAGGGTATCTCAGCCCTCAGCTGTGCAGAGAATGATGTCTGTTCCGTGAGAAGCCACGCACTGGGTCTACCTGTAGCTCTGTCTCCTGGTACTGCCCTGGTCCCACAAAGTGGTGAGTGCGGGAGGTGCTCTTGCCGGAGGTGGCCCTGGCACACCTGCCTCTGGACCAGAAGCTGACGGGAAGATCCAGTGGACAGACAATGGATGGCGCTCTGCTTCCATGTCCCAGGCCTGACACAGACCACCTGTTCAGGTACTGGCAACAACAGGACCCCACCGAGCTGCTGTTCACTGCACTCCAGGAAGCAGCATCTCAGGCAAGGGGCCCTCTGGGCAAGACCCCTGCCCAACTGGAGCCACCTCTGCTGGCAGAACCACCCAGGATGGCCCAGGCAATGGGACTGATTCCTGCAGTCCTCAGGGTCCTCTAGCCCAGGGCAGGCAGGAACCCTTACCCAAGTCCCATGGCCCTCCCCCTTTTCCTGCCTCTGTCCTGGACAGGTGCAGCGGTTCAGAGGGCAGTGGGGGGCCGTGACTGCCAGGAGGCTGGGCCTGTAATTCCAAGGCCTGCCACCAGAGTGTGAGCTGGTGCATTATTAAAACCTGTAGCAGTCGGGTAGACTCACTGAGGAGTCCTCATCTCCTGTGCCATCCTTTCCCTGCTCTGCATCAGCCTTCAGAGTGCTTATCCAGAGCTGGGTGTTCTTCTCATGGCCTTAAGGAGGAAAAGCCACTCCCCCCACTGCCAGGCCCTTTCCTGTCAGAAGCCGGGAGGGTGTGAACCCCACCTCCCCACCAGCTCCAGAGCCCTGACCTCCTCTAGGCAGTATGTCTTGTGCCCTAGCACCTGCTATGACGTGCCCCCACACTTCCCCTCACCACCTCCTGAGCAGGGCAACTGGCTCTGCTGCTCAAGACCACCACTGGGTCTGGGGCAGAGGGGCTAGGGTGACACTTCAGAGCAGGATCTGGGGCAGAGGCCAGAGGAGTGGAGTGGCACCCTCACCGCCCACTCCTGGCTGTGGGATCAACAGGATCAGCTTCCAATCCCAACTTTCGAGGTGGAAACATTTGCCTCCCCAGATCGCTGGAGGTCAGGCCAGATAGTAGAGCTGTTCCCATCCCTCTGACAGGAGTGCTCAGCAGACACTAACCAGCACATGTGCCCTCACCTGCTGAGGTCTCCCAGCGGCCCCCAGGATGGGTGCTATTTTACAAATGAGGAAAAAACTGAGGCCCAGGGGAGCAGAGCCAGGGTGACACTGACAGGTGGGCCTGACTTCAGTCTCAGAACAGGTGGGGAGAATGAAGGGATCAGCCCCAATTGGTACCATTGCTCTAGCCTCTGGAAGTGTGTGTGGAGGGAAGTCCTGGGGATAGTCGTTTCCTAGGGAGACAGGCTTAGGGCTGGGTTTGGGACCCAGCCTGTAGCTTTGCGGCCCTAGACAAGCCCTTTCCCCTCAGCTTCAGTTCGCTTATCTAAAGAGAATGGTGAATAAAGTCTCCAGAGGCCTTCTGTCAACAGGCTAGTTAATTAGTTTCAGGGCTGGTGCCTCTGGCCCCGCCTCTGGCTTCCCCAGGGCATGGGTGGGTGGTGCAAGCAGAGGCCCCCTCCCCTAGTACCTGCCCCTCCTAACTTCCTGTTTACAGCAGCTGCACAGTCTCAGTCCTTCCTCCCAAGCTATTATGATCACCACGGCAACGAGACTGGTGTTTGTTCCAACAGGTTGGCAGAACCTGACACAAAATTGCAGGGGTGGGGGCACCAGCTCCATGATCCTGGCTCTGGCTCAGGACCTGCCAGTCCCCCAGGGAAGGACAAGCTGCCCATCTCGACTGTTGTCCCCTGAAGAAGGAAGGCAGCTGGTGGCATGGGGTTCAGGCCCCCTCCCCAGCTTCCATGACTCATCTCTGTCCCAAGGAGTTGATGCATATCCTGAACAGCCTCTGCCCCCATTTGCCTGTCTGTGCTGGGTCAGGATGGAAGTAGGGCCTGGGGGCGGAGCTTCTAGGCAAACCTAACCTGCAGTGCAGTCTCTAATCCCCCTGCAGTGCTGTCACACACACACACATAGTAGTTGTCTCATCCTGCAAGGACAGGGATAGGGCAGCACGGATGAGTCTGGATCTGGAAGCTGAGACAGGTGGTAGCCCCATCTGAGTGGTGTCCACCCCATCCCTGTGTAAGGGGACAAGCACCCTGTAAGTGGGCAATTCACTGAAAGGCACAGTGGTTATGGTTGGTACCTCCCTACATGGAGCTATGCTCTAGAGGCCTGTTACCCCAGCCTTTGGCCCTCCCTTCAGCTCACCTGACCCCTGCCCTTCACAGAGAGAACTGTCCTTGCCTCTGGGCCTGAGCCATAGTGGGTTCCAGGCTTGTCTTTCTGTCCTTTGGGATGAAAACTCCAAATTTCGGTCTGACCCCCAAGGACAGGGTGCTCTGAGGGTCCAGCAGGATCGGCCAAAGGCAGGGTTGGGATCCAGGAAACCTGTCTACCTGAGGAACGGAACCTCTGCACAGCCCCCACAGTTCTCCCAGTGTGATCCCAGGATGCCCAGCAGCACCTGGACCTTTGTAGAAATGCAGATGGTCTGCCCCAACCCAGACTTTTGGAATCAGTAGGTTTGGGGTGGGCCAGCAATCTGTGTTAACAAGCTCTCCAGAAGACCACGGTTAAGTTTAATAATGCTGCGTGGATATGGAGTGGGGAGGCCAGAAAGGGACCCCGAAAGTGGGCTGGGAAATGCGTGGGCAGGGTCCAGCTCCAGCCCTGGGGTTCCACAGGCTGTGATCAGGCCTGTGGCCCAACCTGGGGTGTCTGGGGCCTCATCTGGACCATAGGGAGGATCACCCCAACAGGTAATCAAGGTTGTCATGGGGCATCCTGGGTTGATGACCGCAGCACTCCTCGCCCCAGGTGTGGACTCTCCCCCATGAGAAGAGGGAGCCCTTAGGCTCAA